CATTATGGAAGAATTTTGGCCCACTCTGAAGCAACTCTTGGTTTTTGTTGTTTTTTTGTTTTGTTTTTTGCAATTTTTCTGAGCATTGCATGTTCTGACTTTGGAGTGAATTTGTTTGGATGTCCACTCCTGCGAAGACTGGCAACTGTCTTGAATGTTTTTCACTTGTGAATAATCTGCCTTGCTGTAGAATGATGAACTTTAAATTGTTAGGAAATTGACTAATAACCCTTCCCAGATTGATGGGCAGCAACGACTGCTTCTCTATGATCATTGCTGATGTTTCCCTCCTTGGCATCATGTTAACACACTCCTAAATGGTCAAACCAGCAAACTCCTAAAACATTGGCTTTTATAGAAGTGGTGATGATCAATTACTCAAGGGCATTTGGTTAGTAGCACCTGGCTCTTAATTCCTGGTTCTTGGTCTCTTAATTCCTGTGGAAGCAGTGGGGGTGTACTTAGTTTTTCACACATGACTTTTGTTAAATAAATCATGATACGGTGTAATATGTCCTGTCTTGTTGTTTTTCATCTGAAGTTGTATTTACCTAATTTTCACACCTGTTGAGGACCAGATGGTTTTTATTATGTCCTAATGAGTAAACCTACAGAAGTCAAAGAAGGTGTACTTTCTTTTTCATATGACTGTATATTGATTTTGAAATGTGAATAAAAAAGAAAAGAAAAAAAAGAGATTTTGGGGGTATATCGTTACACAATATGTCTCCTGCTGCTGCATGTCCGGCCAGTCCTTCATGAGATGTGCATTTGACCAGGGTCTGGAGGAACTCCACCCATCTGAATATTGTATATATATTGAAGTCAGTCAATATGCAGAAGGATCCTGGAATACGTCTATGCTTCTGTATGCCGCTATTCATTTATGCTCTCCCTTCATAGATATGCTAAAGATATAGACAAGGTGAGGGGTAGAGACTGAGGGCAAAGCTAATCCAGACAACTTGAGCTGACTGGAAGGAAATTTCAAAACAGGATGTGCCATCTACATAATCCACAAACCAATGCAGAAAAATATGCACCAAATATAACATTGAAAAACTGTCCATTGCCTCATTTTCTGAGGATCATGGAACTTGTAGTCCAGCACAGCTGGAGCTCATCCAGTTAATGTTGTCTGCTATAAGAGGCTGAACAAACAGATCATCACCAAGGTGACCCAAAATTCGTGCCAAGCAATCCTATTCTGCAATGTGAATAAATCACACAATTAAGCAAATTTGCCTCCATCTGCTTATTTTGCATTTAGTTTGCTCCTGGTAAATAATTATCAGTAAACCACTAAGAGGCACTCGGTGAGAAAGTGAGAGACAAAACAAAGCAAAAACAACCAACAAAGACTACTCAGATCTGATCTCCCACATTATCAGCTACTGAGAATGAATGGTTTCTGTTCTGTATCTACAAAAAAGAATCACAGCCAGTGTTCACTTTCAGATTCCAATTAGACAAGGAAAGAAAAAAGATGTTTCTCTACTAGACAATTAGCTCCACAGTCTATGGATAAACAGAAGAATGTGCACCTCTCTCTGTTCATGTAGATGTAGGTCATCTACATGAAAGATCCAGTTTTGCAATGGAATTCTCTGCAAACTAAAAGAACTTTCATTTTTAATATATATATATCTTTGTGGATCACCTATGGTAATAGAGAAATCCATAATTATATTCTAAAATAACATGCAACCTATTCAGGCATCACCCACAATAAGAAACACTAATCACCCATCTACAGAAAAAGACAAAAACCTATCTCACAGCCATAAATACTGCACTCCCAAGCCAACTACACCAGAGCACAGAGTGCTGTCCTCTGAAGATGCTGGCCACAGAGACTGGTGAAATGTTAGGAAGAACAACCTTCAGAACACGGCCAAAGAACCCAAAAAACCCACAACAACCATTAGATCCCGGCCGTGAAAGCCTTCGCAAATATATCCAGGTATTACTAAACTAGTTTCTCTTGAACATGTGAGGAGGGGAGTGTTACATACAGCACTGATGTAACTAGTTTCTCCTGAACATGTGAGGAGGGGAGTACCTGGCCGTTTCCTCCTCTTTCATTATTTTCTTCACCTGGAGAGGAAAACCATGGTTCTTGTTTATGAGGAGAGCATAGAAACACACTAGAACGTTTCCTTTGTAGACACATCAGTTCCCACATGTAGAAAGTTGTAATGGAGGGGGCAGGTCTAGAAACTCCTTTACTTGTATGTAGAAAAGAACTAGGTAAGTAAAGCCTGAATAAAGCTATGGCCATATGGAGTTCCATATTCCAAATTACATGTTACTGTAGCTGTCGCGTCCACTCAGTGTCCCTTGTCAGGCCCACCCTCTGGATGCGTTTCCTCTTTTTACACTGCCACCAGTGGATCTAGTCTACACTATACCAAATATATGTATCTCAGACGTGTGCTGCTAATACAACAGGTTTATTGAACTTTTAGTTTGTAAGTCACAGATGTAAATCATAGATGTGCTTTTATTACTGTTTAAGATCTCTCATTAAAGTCCTTGGGTTTGATTTCACGTTTGCTTGCATATACTTATTCACAATATCCACTTCAACAATACTCTTTGATATCCATCTGTTCACTATTCCTTCTAACTCTTTCCCATTCTCTTTAACCCTCCAGCTTTTCCATTTTCTGTCTTAACTCTCTCAATTCACTCTCCTAAAACCTCTTCCTTTCTCTCTAACTGTCCAACTCTCTGACTCCACTCCTCCTGTCCTATCATAGGCTCCTGCCCATGAGCTCCGTATAATGGACAGGAGTGATGTGGGCATTCCACCACAGTAGCGTTTCCAGGTCTCACAGTACTGGTTGAGGCTACAAAGAACTGTTACATCCCTTTTAGTTTACAGGCATGGAGACTAGATTAAGGTGAGTAGCACTAGACAAAGATAACATTTCACCTTCTTGTGTGTAGTGGCTTTAATGCATGGGCACCCATCTCTTCCTCTTTTCCAGCTGGTTTTAGACCTCACTGGCCAGTGCAAAGGTGACAATGTATGTGTTTAGAAGGTAGTATAGGAATCTGCATAATTTGTCTACTTTCTCATGTGCGTCTGCTTATATACAGACATTAGGGCTGAAATACTGTTGCATGACTACATGGTCTTAAATGGTGATGACTTCATCACCTGAAGACATTACTCTTTATTTTACTTTACGGCTTCTTATTCCCCTTCTCAGATTCCCTTTTGACCTGGAAAAGCCTTTGGTAGCATTAAGATAAGGAGGGTGACCTTTCAATACTGGGAGAAAGGTGACCTATATGGAAAAGCCTTTGGTAGCATTGAGATAAGGAGAGTGAGCTTTCAATACTGGGAGAAAGGTGACCTATAAAACAAACAGACATGATGCTAATCCTGATCCTCATCACAGGACCAGTGGCCCTAATTTCAGATGTTAAAGGCTTCCTTCCCTTTCCTGAGGCTCCCAAAGGCTTCCCCAAGTCAAAAAAGATCTCTAGGGAGTTTCAGAACTTGGACGGGGTGGAATTGGAGGAACAGAAGCATTATAAATTAAATTAAATTAAAACATTTGCTGTTGCTGATACCATCACTATTTACACTAATTTCATTGCCTAACAGGATTTAAGCCATTATTTTGCAACTTTTACATACATACCACCCCCTGTGACATCTTATGGATCAGTTGTGGTTTTAGATTTTGACCCCTGAAATCTCCCCTCCTATCTTCCTTCTCTAAACTTCCTCATTTTTGCTATCTTATTTATTATTAGAGATTATTATTCTACCTTAAAAATAAACCTAAATAGTGCAAGTGATGCATCAGAGTGTTTGATGTGTCTGTAGTCACTTGGAGGACGCATAACAAAGATGAGGCCAAAATATCAGGCATGGTAGAGAAGAAAGCCCACAAATAATGAAAGCAAGAGCATTATCACTTCCCTTTAATCTTCTGATGGGCTTTTTCAAAAGTTTCAGGAGCTGGGGTTAAAGGGGCTGTTAAGAGGTTTGAATCTGATGTAACCCAGTTTCTCCCTTCTTCTTTTTAATTTTTTTTCTGTTGGGAGATCTTAATCAGCAGAGCTACTGTGGATACACATTATTCTATTGGTAGATCTCTGAGATGGGCATTTATGTTGGCAGAAGGGGTTTGTGCCTAATCCTAACCCCAGATAGCCAAGCACCTCTTTGAGTTAAGAATACACTGTACTATACCTTGCTTAATAAGCCAGAACAGTATAAAGTTTTGCTGAAGAAAGATAGCATCATGTAACTGGGAGTGGAATACAGTCTTGAAACTGGGAGAGGGAGGATTTTTTTGGTCATAAAGATAAATTGCTACGGGTGATCTAAATATTGTTATTTGATTCTGTTAAATATATGTCTCCATTAAGTCCTTTCTAAATACATGGAGGGATGCACACGGCTGAATGTTCTTCAAACTGAATAGTATCTAACAATCAAGTTTTCTATGCACAGGACAATTTTTATTAGAGAATCAATGTAGGAATCTGAAACCGAGACATAGATTTATTAAGCGGAATCCAGTTGGTGTTCATGTGAGGTTTACATAATTTGCTGTTGCTAATTGACAAGGTGCCTGGACATATATCCAGTTGCATAATTTCATTAATTAGATGCTGTAATTTATGCAAACCCAATGCAAACATCAATAGTATCCCAACTATTAGTAGGAAGTGGGCCTCAGTCATAACTGGGAGTTCGATTCCCCCCTGTGCCTCCTTGGCAAATTTATTGGTGTTGCTGCTGCTACTGTTGTTGTCCAGTCTGAGTCTCAAAATAGTTGTTGTGAAAACTTGGACACCTGTGCTGATCTGATGGAGACCACCCAAATGTGTTTATCAGCAGATCTTGATCAAATCTTCTGCTTACCCTGCCACGCAACATGACAAATACAGTCTGTGATGAAGACTAAAAGGTTTTGTTATGTTTGACAGAATATCTCATTCCACTGGATGGAAATCCTGACAACAAGACTTACCTGTACAATGCAGATGCTGTTCTCTTTAGCCCTTTTGGTCTGTTGGGCTTTGGTTCTCCAGCCATATTAATATCTATAATGTAAGAAAAAAGATTAAAATTAATACTGCACCATTCTTCTTCTGCATAAATCAAGGACAAATCCAAGCCATCTTGATCAGGTTTTGTAGGCAGGTTTTCAGCTTTGGTACTAGACTGCTTCTTTGTTTACTTTTACATAAACTAATATATGCAAAACAGCAGTGGATTTTCCTTGTTTTTTTAATGCAAAAAGTACAGGATACACCCAGGATTGTGCAAAGGTTTTGAGCTAAAGCTGTCAGCCAATGGTTTATCTGCTCTTTAGTAATCAATTAATTAATCAAATAAAAGTAAATGTATTTTCACAGTAACATAACCTGCTTGAATGTCTTACAATTTGTTCAATCAAAGCTACCATTTATTACTCATGTGAGCTAGGACCATGGTTAGAACACTCTTGTGCTTGTTTTTCTTTCCTCTCTTTTTCCCCCTTTTTCTCCTGCATATTTCTTCCTCACTTTCCTTTTCTGGAACTAATTTTAGTCTGTGTTATATCTGGATCTGTAATTTCAACAGCCATTCATTCACTGATTTCAAATATTCATATCTTTCAACAATAATTACTCAAGCCAAGTAACACTAGTTAAAACAACAAAACCAATAATGATAACAATAACTATGGTTAACTCCAAACCAAAGTTTGCAACTATGGTTAGAACTGGCTTTGCAAATCATGGTTCATAAAAATCACTAGTTTGTTGTAATGTCTTAACTAGGCACTTTTCTCCAGCCCCACCCCATCCTTTAAAGCAGCCTGAAATAGATAAAGCACATCCCTTTAACATATTAGCTCATGAGGAATTCAATGCACTACAAAGGCATGGATATTAGCCTCATTGCCAACCTGAGATTACAGTCTGCCTTCATCCCACTGTAAAACAAATGCCAACTATAGAAAAGGTCAGTCAAGTTCTTTACAGCCCTTTTCTGTTCTGAGTGTGCTAAAGGCTGTACTGAGTGTAGAAGCAGGTCTGATGTCACCTGATGTGATCTCATGGAGACACTTCAGTTCAAGCTATGGGGTGAATGTAATGTCTTCATCTGCCAAGAAAATCTCAGCCTTAAGTCTCCATAACTGAAGGGATGAATGAAACATGAGGATAGAGCAGTGCGACCAATTTTCAGTCTCTACAGCATGAACTTTGCTTGGAAGCTGAACAAAGGAACATCACACAGACAGACATCACTTTATAAAAGAGAAGCAGAAGGAAAGGCAATGTACCTTTCCATCCTGCTTCTTTTTGTAATTGGGGCTTCACTTGATCCAGAACACACTTCAGCATTTTCATCACACATATATAGATGTAATTTTTTTTCAAAGCTAAATTAGTTCAAAACTACAGATGGAGTGTATGGATAATTGAAGCATAGAATAATGGAGTTGGAAGGGGCCTGTAAGGCCATCAAGTCCAAATCCCTGCTCCATGCAGGAATCCAAATCAATGTATACCTGACAGATGGATGTCCAATTTTCTCTTGAATGCCTCCAGTGCTGGAGTGCTCACCACTTCCTAAGGCAAATATTTGAAAAGTGCTATCATATCTCCACTCAGTCTTCTTTTCTCAAGACTATACATGCCCAGTTCTTTCAGTCTTTCCTCATAGGGCTTGGTTTCCAACCGTCCTGATCATCCTTGTTGCCCTCCTCTGAACTTGTTCCAGTTTGTCAACATTTGGAGATTGCTCATTCAAGGAGTAGCCTCAAGTCATCAACACACACACACACACACACACACACACACACACACACAGAGTATTTATAACCCACCTATCTAGTTATATATATATGTCTTGGAAGTTGAAGAGGGCAATCATTGGCTAATAAATGGATAGAAATGCTCAAAATAGTGACCAGATATTTAAGCTTTTTGTCTGAAAAAACTTTAGAAAAAAGTTGAGATTCCATATCAGATAATATCCAAACTGGCACTAAGTATTATGGCTAGAATCCAGGCCAAGCTTACAAAAAAGGCTCATATGTCAAGTCTACATTGGCCGTACACACGCATGCACCCACAAACACACACAAACACAAAGCCTAGTTCGGTTTATAGAATACAAAGTAAAATGCCAATGCCTTTCTCCCTTTCAAACTGGTGTAGTCATAAGTAACTTTTCAGAATCAGCTGTCACTGCATACAAGACCTTGAGGCAACCTGGAAGAATAGTGACAGTATCATTTCTCAGTACCTGTTTGCTGGAAACAAACTGCCCCCCCCCCAGTACCGCTTTGTTTTGTGCAATGCTTTGAAATGTTGCCTGCTGTGAAGCTCTTGTCACTAGGCATTGGCTGAGAATTGCTGTTGAAGATAGCATTTTCAATCAGAAATTGGCATTTGTGATCTCTCAGTAGGTGGTGGCAATGCTAAAGGCAGGCAGGAGTGCCAGACACGCCAATGTTGCAGCTCTCATCCTATTGCCTCCCTGAGCAACAACCTAAAATAAGAATGCAAGCACGTTGTCTTCTTTGGGAAAAATGGAGATTGTGACTCCACATCTGCCTGTTATTAGAATGCTCGAACAGACACCATTTTAAAGCGTCATATCAATATAAAATTATGGTTTGAACAACATCCAACATCAGGCAAGAAGGATGATCAAGGGAGTTGGAAACCAAGCCCAATGAGTAAAGATTGAAAGAACTTAGCATGTTCAGCCACGAGAAAAGAAGACTGAGGGGGGGGGGATATTACAGCACTTTTCAAATACTTGAACAAAAATAGTACTGGTTGGTTGTTGGAGTATAGAAAAGATGTATACTGAGGAAAAAGTGGAACAAAACTCTAGGAGGTCATTTTTAAGTGGGAGCGCGTACTCCTGCCATATTGCATTGACACAGATTTTGAAAAATATACCTTTCTTATAAATCTTTCAGAATCTTCAGGGTGATACCTATGTGAGTCCTTTGCAGCAAAACCAAGAAAAATAACTCTGTGACACCTTGGTGGCTGGCAACTTTTCCTTGTCATAAACTTTGCTGGTCTGCTACCCACTTCTATTAGAGGTACCGAGTACTCCCTCATTTATTAGTAATATATTTGGCTGCAGAAATTGTAGCCACTGGATGGCAGGGAATGGAAATGCAAGCAGTACAAACATTGATCATTACCTTAAATGCGATCATAAACCAAGATTAGTTGGCTGGTAGCCCAGACATCCTAGTATACATGCGTTGATTAACACACTTATTATGAAGACAGGTCAAATTGGACAAAGCGAAACTAGAATATTTTCTAATCATAAAATGTTATATTTGTATCTCTGAAGGAAATCACACCTTATATTTTCCCTTGTAATCCCTGCAGTTTGACCTCACTTTCTCCTACATTTTTTCCCTGCAGATCACAAGGCAGTGTATTATGTGGGGGATTCTTGTGGTATGCTCATGGATCTGTACAGCTTTTTAAAAAGACATAAAGGGGAATCCATGCTACCTATAATCGACCACGTTGCCTTCCCACAATGGGATATCTGCTGAGATACCACATTTTTCTGTGTATAAGACAATACTTTTGTCTAAAATAGATTAAAAATTGAGGGTCATCTTATACATGGAAGTAAGGAGGGAAGAGGGATCAAACCGCTTTGATTCCTGCTTCCCCCTCCACTTTCTTGTGAAGAAAGTGCTTTCCCCCTCCACATTCTTCCAAAGAAAGTGAAGGAGGAAAGCAGGAATCCTCAAAGCACTTTGATTCCTGCTTTCCCCCTCCACTTTTTGCGAAGAAAGAAATTTTGGGTTAAAAAAGTGGAGGTGGCGTCTTATACATGGAAATTATGGCAGATGTCTCCACAATCTGATTTTACAAATTATTCCTTGTGTTTAATTCCAAAACACCAACCACATAGCAAAGCATGCCAAATGCAAGATACTGTGGTGAGGAAAACTGCATGCTACAAGAAACAGAAGGCTTTCAACACTTGAGGGAGCACCTCTTGAAAAAATGTGCTAAGTGTATTATCTAGTTCAGAGATCCCCAACCCCCAGTCCGCAGCCCAGTGCTGGTCTGTGGCCTGGGCCAGACTGGGCCATAGAGACAGACTCCCCCGTCCCCACCCCTGCATGCACTCCCCACACACAACTCCTTTGCGCCTGCCCCCGTGCACCTGCACCCAATCCCCAATGGATATGGGGTGAGAGCCCGCGTGAGCGCTCCCCCACCTCTTGCCATCCTTCATGCATATGCATGAGTGTGCGCATGCCCGCACAAGCACCCCTGCCTCTCCTTCACACATGCACATGAATGAGCACACTCCTTCGCGCATGTGCACGAGCACGGGGGAGGTGCCCCGCCTTCTCCAACTGGTCTGCGGGCTTAAAAGGTATGGGGACCACTGATCTAATTTGAACCACATAAGGAGTCATGCAAGTTCTTTTGCTGAAGAAGCAAGGCCAGGCCTTTTGCCAGTTCTGACATCTGAGATACTTCAAATTGGAAGCCCTGGGATTTGAACTCCAGCCCTTTGACATGCAAACCTTGTGCTGTGTCACTGACTCATAGACTGATGTATCCTTATTTTTCCCACTGATGCAACTTTGGATAGTTTGTACAATAGGGACCCTGTATCCATTGCATTAGTATCCAAGGTTTCACTTATCTATGGTCTAAAAATATTAAAAATATTTTAAAAAAAGATCCAGAAAAAAACATTTTCACACGCCACCAGATGGAGTTAGAGAATATGCTGTGAATACTTGTTAGTAAAGAATACATAGTATGACCAGCTCTGGTAATGCTATATATATAATTTGCTGTTATCTATTGTTTTCAGTATCCACAGGAGGCCACAGAACCAATCCCCAGTGGATATGGGGGCCTACTGTATTGAGATTTTAATGTATTAAACTTGCATATGCTGGACATGAGCTTTTCAGGGGTTTGCAGATGGTTATGTGGTGGAATAGATGCAATTTGAAACAGAAGATCCCGTTTCAGATCTTAGGAAGGGCTTTGTGTGAGGTCCTGTACATTTCCCAATGTACTTCAGAGGCTATATGAAGAGTGACCTATAGCTCACATACATTTCAATCACAGCAACATTTAAAGGAAATAACAATATTTCCATCAGGAAATGTTTTTCACGGCCGGCTTGCTCACATGTTGCATTTGTAGTGGAAAATAATCAGGATTATCCCCGAGGAAATCCTGTGGTTTCTTCATAGTGCTCTCTTGTCACACTTCTAGGAGCTCATGATTAAAACCCTTACTGCTCTACATGATCATTCATGGCTGTTTAGCAGACAGGCTGCGTTTTGTAATATGTGAGCATTTGGGGCTGGCATCCACGTATCATGGCACCAAAGCACTGAGAACAAGTCCTTTGTGTTTTTCTCAGTCCTTGCCACATTAGGTGCCTAATTTGATTTGGGACCTCTCTGTGCTGCTGTAGCACACATTATCCCAAACATCATCATCACTTCTGAAGCTTTGTGCTCGACAGCTGGTGATGCCACTGTAGAAAATAAAATGCTAAGCAACACTCTCCACGTCTGCTTTTAGAATACTTATTTCTTTTTTCTTGCAGTGATGTATCAAACAGATCTGTAGCAACTTTGGGTGGCGTATAAATTAAACAAACAAACAAACAAACTTGCCCATTTCTGGCACAAGTTACCTGCCAAGAGCAAGAGCAGAGAAATGTGGCTACGTGACAGGTCAGAATGTTTTTATTGTTTTGTTTGGAAAACCTTTGTCTCTGTTGAATCTTGTAAGATGAGAACAAAGTCTTTGAAATTCTTACTTTTTTACAGAAAGGGCATGATGATGATGATGATGATGATGATGATGATGATGATGATGATGATGATGATGATGATGGTGGTGATGGTGATGGTGATGGTGATGATGATGATGATATTAGCAATAAAAATTGAATAATTCAATTGTAGTTCCAATTACAGTAGATCGACCAAATTGATTGTGAGTTTTTAGTCAGAAGTGACACAAGCACCATTGATTCCAACAGGTCTACTTTAGTTGCAACTTACATAGGATATAGCCTCATCATCATCATCTTAGCAACTAAGAAGCACTAGACTTTTTTTGTTTTTTTCATTGTTTGGCTGTTTGTCTGGATTTCCCACAGTGGTCTAAGAGCAAATGTGGGAGAGGTCATCTTTCAAAGCTGACCTCAAAAGACATGCCTTTGACATTTTGGTGAGAGTCACCAATGTGTTTAAATTGAATTGACCAACAAATTGCTCAGTCAATCAGTCAAAACAAAAAATCAATTAGTTCTTTAGGCAGTAGCTAGCTGTAATTTAAACACTGATGATTCTCTCCCACCCACCTGCATGTAGTTGTCTAAACAGTTCAGTGAGTTAGGTATCTGGCTGCAAAATTAGAGGTTGGAAATCTGATTCCCAAAAGTGCACTCAGGAGAAGAGCCCAGCATGTTTAGCTTTGAACAAGCTGTACAGTCCCTGAGTACTCTCTACCTAGAAAACCTTGGAAAGTGTTGCTATAAGTTTGAACTGACTTGATAGCATGTAATGATTATTATTAGTTACAATATAAAGCAGCAAAATTGAAATATAAATTGTATAAATGAGAACACTGTAATGCATGCAGAAGGAAAGATACCTAGACTTTAGGGTCCAAATAACAGGGAACAAGCAATCAACATTCACTTAAAAGCATGTGAACACTGTCTCTAATGATCAGCAATTTGATTCTTAGAGCTGCTTCCTGATTAACTGGGGTGGTGGGGGTGGCAGTGGAGAAAATTGGCAGACATTTGTAGCCCTGACTAATGCTGATATCAAAACAGGGCCCTTTTCTAGTATTCCTATCTTTATCTGTGGCTTGAAAGGGACAATTTTTGTTACAGACTTGACTCTTTGCTTCACAATGATGGCAGCTTTGGCTCATGGCTCATAGTACTACTAAATTGCAAGGTTCTGCTAAAGAATGGTGACCTCTTCTCTCTCTCTCTTGGCAGGGGATACAAATGATAAATCTGAAATCAAGCTGTTACACTTTAATAGAATCTTACAGAGACAGGTCCATACACACGTACAAAGTCCCCACACAGAGCAGTTAGAAAAAAACAACACATGAAGAAACCTTACCTAATGTCTGTCCGGCAAGCACTCTCCCATTTTCCCCCAGCACAGCGGCCCGTGCGTGCCTCTCGTTTGAGTACTGTACAAATGCATAGCCTTTGTGAACGGAGCAGCCCACCACCCGGCCGTACTTAGAGAAGATGGTCTCTACGTCTGACTTCTTGACCACTGCTGTGTTGAGGTTGCCGATGAAGACTCTGGAGTTGATGGACTTGGGGTCATTCTTGTTTGTGATGTTGCTCGTCTGCACTTTCAGCGACATCTTGACACCTAAGTAAGCAAGGCAGGGAGATCAGGAAGGCACTGAAATGCTGTAGATAATAATCTGATAGGGGAAGGAAACAGTGGTCGCCCGGGCTTCTTACAGCAAAAATCTGAAGAAAACTAACAGGATTTGATACCAATGAAAACAACCGGGATGTGCAGACTTCCATTTCTCAGGTGTTATTCGTGCAGAAATAAATCCACAAAGAACCCTAGAAAAAACAAACTTTTGACTCCTTTCAGCAATCTCCCTGGGTTAAGTGAACTGGCGATGTTGTGCCCTTGTTTTCTCTCTTGTTGCTCTCTGCTGCTTAAGTATTGATGTTTTGTTTCGAAGATGTCACATGGCTCTGAGAAACCTTGACAGACTATCACTAGAGCTGCTATCAAGTCAACAGCTCACTACTGTTTAAGTATACCTCTGAAACATGAACTGCAGAAACTTCTATATATCAAACAAAGACTTGGATATACAAGTCAGTAAAGTACATAGTGGGCAGCCCTTTAAAAAGTATCTGATTTCCACTGTTTTGCAATGGTTATGGGACCATCAGAATAAGCAGAGGTCATCTTTCTATCCAGTTCCTAATAAATCATCATGCAAAGCATTCTCTTCATTGGGCATAGGGAGAGAAAAGTCTGTTTTGAGGTACTGACACCATTGTTGAACAGATTCACAGTTATGTTACAATTAGTGATTTATATCCAGTCTCTGCACAGATACCTTGTCTTTTTGTGCCCTAGACTTCTCCCTGGTCACCTTTTCCAGGCCCATCAGTACTATTGCCCCTCCTTGGATCTGAGATGGGGGGAAAAACCTCTCCTCTAAATCAACAATTTAACAATGATTTTTTTTTAAAAAAAGTAAAGTCCAGAAGATGTGTCCTAAATTGTGAGTGGACTGATGAGGCTTGCTCATGGTTTTTGAACTCCAGCCAAGACATTATGCCTGGTTTCCTGGCTTCCCAAATTCCTGCCAGTGAGACCCCCACCTTGGAAGATTGGAACAAGGAGTTGACAACCACAGGGAAGGAATAAAATACCTTTGTCTTCAGATCACCTCTTCTCCTGGTCTTATCAACTGAATGTTCCCAACCAAAGGCTGGGGAGGGAAGGGACAGGCTTCCCAGCACCTCTTTGTCCCCCCCCCATACCCTTCTCTGATGTTGATTCCACCATTACTCCTTCCTGAGTCTGTGACCTAGGACCAAGATGTGGGCAGTTTTCTGCCTGCTATCTCCCATGAAGAATACGGGAACATATAAAGCTATCTTATAGTTACTGAGAAAGACCTCTAGCCCCTCTGGCTCAGTTCTGCTGACATTGACTGGCAGCAGAACTTTAGACTTTTAGGCAAGTCTTTCTAACCCTGCTTGAAGCTGGTAGGGCTTGAATGTGGGACCTTCTGCATACTGCTGGGCTGTGGCCCATCCGCTAAAAAGGGTGAACACTTTCTAAACTTCATTGACAGTTTTGGTTTGCGTAATATCAGTTGTGTTAATTGACTGCACATGCTGTTCCTTTCACAGAACTCAAGCATTTGCAACATGTGTTTAGAAAGAGATGCAGGGTTTTCCTCTTGAGGAAGACTCTTCTGCTTCTGTCTTTGATTATAAACAGTTGTAGGGAGGCAGGCTGAATACTGGTTTCAACATGTGGAAACAGTACTGACTGTTGGACATGTCAAATTCAACTTCTCATGTCCTATGAATCATTCATGCACCTCGATGAATCTGATTAGATTTGTACTCTGCATACACATTCTAAACACAGCAGCTAGATGTTTCGTTCTCTCTCCTACTATGCAATGTCAACATAATGTACACCCTTGTTCAGGTTATATGTCTGAAAATGTGAAAGGCTAAAACTGTGATGGAGAAGAGGGCATGCATTCAAACCCCACCTTGCTTCCCATTCAGACCTTCTCATGAGCAGTGTGAAATGCTACTAAGCTGAGCATGCTTTTAGAACTGATGGATAGCTCAGAAGTTTAGCCATCCGAGTGAGAGTTCGATTTCCCCACTGTGCCTCCTTGACAGGGGTTGGACTCAATGATCCATAGGATCCTTTCCAGTTCTGCAATTCTAAGATCTAAGACAACTCTTATCAGAGCCCTTCACCATAGGAGTGCTATAAATGTATTCCAAACATGCTAATAAGTGTCTCTGCAGACCTTCACACTTAAAAGCCAAAGGTCTGCCTTATTTTGGGTTGAAATGAAGATATATTAAGTGGGACTTATAAGCATCTCCATATGTGTGTCCCCCACTCATTTAGCCCTTCATGCTCTCAGGCATAATAATTGAATAAGGCCAGATTGTCACTGAGCTCAGCTTCCACTTGGTAGGTCACAATTAGAGATGGGGACATATAAATAAAATGGCAATTCATTTTGATCTGTTATTCGTCAAGGTTAACTGATCAACAAATATGAATATACGAATATTTTTGACGAATTGATGGATCGATCCGTCAATTTGTCTGCAATTTAAATGGTTATAACACTGGCCACCAACCACCTAGAGACACCAAATTTGCAGGGAAGCTTCCTCAGACGCTTTTCTACCACACCTGAATGCTTGGTGAACATTGGAGCATGTCTTTCCCCGACACGGCTGCCAACTTTGGTGAAGATTGGATATCGAACATCTGAGTTATTCACCCACAAATTGGGTCCCCTCAGGAGAATTTACCACACAGCACAGAAGGCCATTCTGCCTACTGATTTACCACACGGCACAGAAGGCCATTCTGCCTACTGGCTGCCAATCAGCTGATCAGAAGCCAATAGGCAGCCACCCCTACACACAGCCAGCTAACCCAACAACCTACCCCCATACCCCCAACCTACCGCACATCCCCTTCCTTTCCCTACCTTAGCCCCACCCCACTGCCACTGACACCCCCTTACCGTAATAGCTGCTGCTGAGGTATCCATCAGGCCTTTGCAGCCACCATGTAAAAAGGGAGACTGGGCGGCCTTTGCAAAGATGGTGACTGTGACTTCATTTAGAGTACAGAAGCTGCAGCTGCCATCTTTGCAATGGTCAGCCTGGATTCCCTTAAGGCCGGCTAAGGGAATCCAGGCTTTCCATTGCAAAGATGCCAGTGCAACTTCCCTATCCTAAATGAAGCTGCACCCACCATTTTTGCAAAGGGCAGCCAGTCTGAATTTTTACATGTGTGGCTCTGACAGCAGAAGATCTCAGCAGCAGTGATTAAGGTAAGAGAGTGTCAGTGGGGGTGGGGTGGGATGGCGTGGGGTCTAAGGTAGGGAAAGGAAGGGTGTGTGGGTATGTGTTGGTACTGGGTGGTTGTGTGGGGTGGTGGCTGCCTTTCTGCTGCTGATCAGCTGATCAACAATCGGTAGGCAGAATTTTTTTAAAAAAATATGAAGGACGAATAAAAATGGGTAAATATTTGTCCCTTCGTATTCATGGGGGTCTCTGGAGCCTACAAATATGGATATTTAACGAATCAGCTATATTCATCAGAAAAACGGATCTGTTTTTATATTCGTCCCCATCTCAGTCACAAAATCAGGCTTAAGGCCAGACGTGATCACTGATCTGTCCTAAACAGAAGTAGGGTTTTTTTTTGTTTTTTTTTGGTGATGCCAGGCTGAATCTGTCCAGCAGTGGAACAGGCTAGATTGTGTACGTATCTATGGGCATGAGGAAGTACAGATGATACTCCTGATATTAATACCGTACCAGTTGTGCCAGGCTAATATGTCTTCAGGTAACTGTGTTTATGGGGAAAGTGCTATAGAATTAGGTTGCGATATTTACAGAAATATTTTGTTTCATGTTTCACCAGAAATGCTGTTTTTGCTTGCTCCAAAATCAAGTTGCAGTCCCATGCATACTTAAGGTTTATGCAGCTTTAGTAAAACAGAACACTTCCTGGAGGCTTTGTCATGCCTCTTTCTTTCTTTCTCCCTCCTTCCCTTGCTAATTTCTGTTCTTTTGGAATGGTTGTTATAATTGCAAGACCATCCCATGGGCAGGATTAACCAGAGTACATGGTATCTTAAGCAGTACAACAGCGTACAAGGCATGAAAATGTGCATGTGAATACACATTTAAATGCATCTCCTCATAAGGCATGTCTTCTTACAAAGTACACGTTCCTGACTGCATTGTTTTGACAAATGTGCTGAACACATTTGCTTTCAAAATACACTTTTTTAAAAAACAACAACATGCATTTGATACTTTCCCCCCCTTAACCAAGGAACTTCACAGGTAAATATAAATCCGGTGCTTTGACCAATACATCAGTCTAGGGGAGACACAGACACAGACACAGACAAAGACACACACAGACACACACCTGCTCCCACACCTTGTCCGTGCCATGCTCCTATTATGAATTTTGATACAAGACTTTTCGAGGCCTCCAAAACACGACGAAATTGCCTCCTGTGACCCCAGAGAGCATAAGGGGATGTTTTGAGCAATATTAATTCATTTATTTAGGAGGCATGCAAGAGGCAGGATTGGGAATCCCATTCAGGCCCCTGGGGGCTCTTCCTGGAGCCCAGGGCTGTATTTTGTCCTTTCAGTCTTGCAGGCGCAGATTAGGAAGTTTACAAACTTTTACATCATTTACAAAGACTTTATTCTTCTAATATCTCTATTTCCCTTAACATTTTATTCCTTGTTCCCATTGCTTTTTCTGGTGAAAATGTAAGTCTGATTAAAAAAAATGTTTTCTTATCTGAGAGGTTTTTCTTATTGATCTCAAATAAAAGTGTGAAAATTTGTGTTTTTGGATTACAAATCCCAGTTGTAGGACAAAAATTACAAACCTGTACACCTCTAATTCCAAATGTTTCTTAGTTCAAGGAAAGAGCTGCCTACTCCATCAGAGAAAAAAGCGAGGTCACTGCCTACACACACTACCAAGACCTGGATGTTCTGTTCCTTTCTACCTGGAATGGGTGTTGCATTGATTTCCCTCTCACAGCAGGGCTGTGCTAAGTGCCATGCTCTCATTACAGT